CCCATCAGGGCAAGGGAGGGACCAGAAGAAATCTGTGCTGGGAGCCAGAAGACCTGGCTGTGATGATGGGTGTGAGCCACAGTGACAGATCTGAGAAATGGGCAAGAAATTTCTGTAAGGGATGGCTGTGGGCTACCCGGAGGGGAGGTGAGCTGTGTCCTGTCCAGTGTGAAACTGCGAAAAATTTGAGTTAGGAAGGAAATGTCTGACTGCAATCTCACAGTGCCATGCAGTGGCTAGCGATGCTAGTGCAGCCCTGAAGATGTATGGGAGAAACACTGAGCAGAAGCAGGTAGGCGATGGTACCTCTTAACTAGGACCATTCCTGGATGCCACAGCTCTGTGTGGTGCCAGCTCTTACAAGAGGGTGTTAACAAAATGGAGGGGTTCAGAGTCTAGGGGGACGACTCAAGGCCTGGAAAAACCTGCCTGACGTTAAGGGATTAGCAGGAGTCAATTACATTTATCCAAGAAACTGTGAGGATGTGATGGGATCATAGAAAAGAGACACACAAAGATGATGTTGAGAGCGCAGTGCTCTGCAGTCTCAAAAAGAGAAGATGAAAACTGAAGCTGAGACATTATAAATTCAGGCTGGAATGAAGCGGACAGATTCACACCAATGGTAAATAATCTTTGGCCTACGTACCCAGGGATAGGGCTAGTTCTCCAAGGCTTGGGATGGATTCAACTCACTTAACAATGTCTGTAAAAGGATTCCCTAGCATAGGCACAAATCCAAGGAAGGACAAGGGGACGTGAAAACTGGCTGCACAGAGGTGACTCTCAAGGACTAAGCGTTGTCCTCGGTCCTCCAGAACCATCCTCATAAACTTCATCCTTCTCTCTAAAATTAGAGAGGCTGCCAGGAGCCTTCTGCCATTGCATCCCAGGCACTGTGACCCCACTACACCAGCCTTTGGCTGCAGGGTGGGACAGCCGTGCACATCGGAAGATGACAGGTAATTCGCATCACCACAAAGCCCCCACCTTGCTCTGAGGGAAAAAGAGGTATAAAAGGGTCTACACTGTTAGACCTCTAGAGGAAAAGACTGCAGAAATGAACTGGACAGTGGTGCATGTTGAGTTGTGGTCAGGTGTGTTAGATGGTTACAGAGCAGGCACCTCCATCAGAGGTTTTTCTAGATGCCATTTACACTCAGCAGAAAGAGATAATCTCATCCAGGCAGTAATTCATCACATCTGAATGGAAATGTCTAAACAGAGCAGAATAGTTGTGCCCTAACAGTGATGACTTTTCCCTGCAAAGTGAGACATAGTGAAATTCATCCCACTCAGCTCAGTGATAGAGACTGACAATGTATGTGGTTAAGTAAGATGAGCTGAGCTGCCTTTTGAAGTGAGGCATATGGTATGGACAGAGACCCCCCATGGCTGCTTCATGTGGTCAAAGAAATAACCTGCAATCTCTCCCCCTTGCTCACGCAACCTGTTACAAATACAATTATCTTCTGTTTTACTTTGGCTGCAACTCTGAGGCCTGAGGAATCAAGTGAAAGCTCAATTTCAACAGGCACAAAATTAAGCCCAAGTGCATAGGGCAGGTTATACGCTCATATATCAAGAGGGGAAGATGCATTCCTGTTTGGCTTCTCAGGAACTCTAAAATTATGCCTTCAGCTAGCCAAAGACTTCAGCCGCCTTTTGCAAGCAGCAGAGATACCGCCTCTGTCCTTGCAGTGCTCCTTTAGCCCTTTGATGCTCAGAGCCCCTCCAACAGGCAGACACGACTTGAAACCTCGAAAGGCAGCAATGCAAATCTACAGAAAACACTTCCCCCACCTGGGCCCCTGCAGCGAAAGAGATTTTATCACTACAGCCTGCCCTGTCATTTAATTACAGGC